AAAAAAGAGGTGTTTCATGATTGCCTTTGTATCCCCAGCGTCTAGCACAGTGATAGGAACTTAATACATTTTTTTTTTTTGGCTAGGCAATGGGGTTAAGTGACTTGTCCAGGGTCACACAGTTAATAAGTGTCAAGTGTCTGAGGCCAGATTTGAACTCAGGTCCTCCTGACTCCAGGGTCAGTGCTCTATCCACTGCACCACTTAGCTGCCCCCAACATTTTTGATTGACTATTTATTCATACATTACATCTTTATAGCAAACTGTCTGCTCTTGGAGGGCTATAAATCAATCAAAAAGCTCTCACTACACGCCAGGCTTGTGCTAAGTGTTAGGGATACAAAGAAAGGCCAAAACATCCTTGCCATTAAGGAGCTCACAGTCTTATGGGGGAGATGATATGTTGATCATTGGTATATTTGAGATTTATACCAAGTAGATGGAAGATTCTCAGAGCAGAAGACACCAGCAGCTGGGATGGGGTCAGACACTGGGAAAAGCCTGGTGAAGAAGGTAGGATTTGACTTGAGAAATGAAAGAAGTCAGAGATGTTGGGAAGCAGAGGAAGGAAAAACATTCTAGGTGGGAGGGACTGCCAGGGAAAAGGCATGGAGGTGGGAAATGAACAGCAAAGTAGATTGGTGTAGACAAACTGTAGAGTCCAGAGAGAGAAGAGACATATGAGAAGGGCAGCCAGGAGCCAGCTGGAGAAGAGCTTTAAACAGTGGAGGGTTCTAACTTGAAGCCAACGGCAAAAGAAGCCGCTGCAGTTTATACAGGTGATCTGGGGCCAGGGACTGCGGTGTTTTTGTCTCGGCACTCCACTTCCCAGCACAGGTGGGTCCTGGACTTTGCAGACACTAGATAAATGTTTGCAGACTTGAATTGGATCCTGGTAGCCATGGGGAAGATGATCCGCCAACCCTAAAGTGCTATGTCAACGTATGCTGTTATTATTATTTTGAATCTGACAAGTGTGCTTTCTGCTGTCCCACACTGCCCCCTTCTCCCCTATTTAGCCTCGAATAAGCAAGTGCATGCTAGTTTAAGGTTTTAAAATGCTTTGCCCTAACCATGTTTCCTGCGTGGCCTCGGCCCACTTGATTCATTGCTCGCACAGACTTTGCTTTTTCTTGGTGAGCATACAAATGTATTGTTTTAATTCTTCCAGTTCAGGTGTCTTACTCTGCTGGCATTGGCCCACTGACTGGTAGGAGAGAAGAGTTCAGTCAGTCAACAAGGATGTAGTAAGCACTCACTCGGTGCTAGTCACTGGGAACACAAAGAAAGGCAAAAGAAAGACCCTCTTCTCAAGACGTTTAACCTCATAGGAGAGGTAACACGCAGGCAACTTTGTCCCAAGATGATTAAAGAAGTCCGGCCAGCCCCTCCTACCTCAAGTTCCTGATTCATGCAAGCACAGGACTTAAGGGCTGGGAAGGACTTTCAAAATCACCTCGCTGGACCAGGCTGACCACATCATTTTACACATGAGGTAACAGAAAGAGAAACCGGGGGCACAGTGCATAGGATGCCAACCTGGAGGCAGGGAGACCTGAGTTCAAATCTGGCCTGAGACGCTAGCTGTGTGACCCTGGGCAAGTCATTTAACCTTGTTTGCCTCAGTTTCTTCATCTGTAAAATGAGCTGGAGAAGGAAATGGCAAACCACTCCAGTGTCTTTACCAAGAAAACCCCAAATGGGGTCATGGACAGTTGGACGTGACTGAAAAATGACTGAATACACAGGCACCAAGTGGAAGAACTAAAATTTGACCCCAGTTCCTCTGACTCCACCACACTGTTTTGAAATCAGAAGAGAAAAACCTTATTTTTAAACAAATAAACAATCTATGTGCATGCTAAAAGAACAAAATAGTCTAAGGAAATATGTAGCAAGGGATTTAGTCAGACAACTGAAGGCCTTTAGTTACCAAAGGTAAGAAAAATCACCCAGTATCCTGAGTAAGCTGGTAAGTCTTTCTTTGATTAATCAAAAAACATTTATTGTCTCCTGAGTGGAAGACATTGTGCAAGGTTTGGGGTGGGCAGGGGAAAAATCCATAGACCAAAAACAAACAAAAACCAGTCCCTGTCCGTAAGGAGCTTATAGACTTATAGCAGAGAAGCAGACATTCTAATGAATTGCGCTTCTTAAGAACTCCAGCTGTTGAAGAGGACTGTTTCTATTCTAAGGCCTTCAAAGTGAACAAAAATACCGATATTGATGTCTATCTATCCATTTCTCTCTCTTTCTCTATCTACACACACACACACACACACACACACACACACACGCACGCACACACACGCACGCACACAGTCTTGTGCATGGGCAGGGATCGGGGGAGAGTAGTCCAAGGCTAGGTTTCTAGGAGTCCCTGGGAAGAGGGTGAATAGCTAAGAAAACGGGCACAAGAGAATAAAATATTGACCTCCACTGGAACATGTCTCCTCCTCCTCTTCTATTCTACTTCTGCCTACTAATCTGAAATCAAACCTTTTAGGTCATTAATGCTGACTTCTGACTTGCTCTGAGGGCTACCTGCATATGTCTATATGTGCGTAATCAATCAATCAATCAATCAACATTGATTAAGTGCCTACTGGGTACCAGGTACTGTGCTAAGCACTGGGCATTTTTGTTGTTGTTCAGTCATTTCAGTCGTGTCCAACTCTTCGTGACCCCATTTGGGGTTTTCTTGGCCAAGATACTGGAGTGGTTTGCCATATCCTTCTCCAGCTCATTTTACAGACGAGGAAACTGAGACAAATAGTGTTAAGTGACTTGCCCAGGGTCACATAACTAGCAAGTGTCTGAGGCTGGATTTGAATTCGTGAAGATGAATCTTTCCAATTCCAAGCTGAGCGCTCTATCCATTGTACCATTCAGCTGCCCCTTACCTATCTATGTACATACATAAATATCTGTTTCTATATATCTATGTATATGTTTATAAATCTATATCTAGGCAGACATCTATATCACGACATATTCATATATCTATATCCTCTCTATATATCTACGCCTAGATCTAGATATACCGAGATACCTGTCTAATTCTCTCCATATATGAATATATGTGTGTATATATATATGTGTGTGTGCCTATGTGTTTATATAGATATATAGATATATGTATATATAGATGTATGGAGAGAGAGAGAGAGAGAGAGAGAGAGAGAGAATGATCTTGGAAAAGGGCAGAGTCATCAGTTGTGGTTTAAGTTATAATAACATCAAGAGGCTTATTACTTTGATTAGAAAGGCAGTATATAAAGCCGGAAATGCAAAGAAGCCAAGATGTTATTTTCATGCATCTATCCTGGTATAGAACAAATGAGGAGGGGTGAATCTGTAGCAGGGCTGTGAACCAATGACTGTTCTAAATAGGACACAATTCCATGAGTCATCTGTAGCTTTAAATACTATGTAGAAAAAAGAAATGAGTAAAAAAAAAAAAAATCCAGCACACACACAGAAACTGCCTTTCATTTGATGTGGCAATGCCTCCCTTATAAAATTACATTATTCAGCTTCAGGAGGAGGAAAATAGTTAACTTTTCATGTTTAGGATGATACTATTAGAAGGAAGCCCCATAAATGCAGCCTTGTTAAATTTCAAAGACAAAACTCCCAACCTCTCAACAACGGGGTGATTTCCCGCTGATAAAGCAAGGCCAGTCAAAGCTAAAAGGTTTTTTGCCCCCAGACGACTGATGAAGGCATCTAGGTATCTGACTGATGTGTGGGTCTGATGAACTAGGCCCTGTATGCACCATTTGGGTCGACCTGCCTCTATCAAAACTTAATCCTCCTTCCTGTTATTTACCCCCGATGACATATACTGCAATTCTTCTGCTAACGACGTTTGATCCTGCTAATTATGCTGGAGTGCCAGGACGGTATTTCAGAGTTCACAAATTGCTCCTGGGCATGGCACAAATTATACATAATGCATTACGTTGTAATTGCTGTATTGTGAACTTGGTGTGCCTTTCCAACATAAAAAATACCGACATTCAAGGAGTTTTATTATAAAAACCATAAGGGATTCTTTCAGATTATAAACATCTGAAGACTTAGCATTCTCATGAATTCCAGTCCAGAATTCTGGACACATAGAGGGCGGGAAGGCTGAAAATCAAAGCAAAAATATACTTCATCTTAATATTTACAAGGGAAGAAAGGAGGTAGTTATTAGGCCAAGACTACATCAACATACAAAAAAAAAAAAGGAGGAAAGAATCCAAGTTGGGAGGGCAAATACCTTTCGTGCTATAGAGGGATGGTCGGAGTGAAGAGATCTGGGTTCTTCCACTGGCCCTGCTATTGAGCTAACCATATGGCTTATAGAAAATTATTTCTTCACCTTTCTGGGCCTCACTTTACTTCCTTGAAAAAATGAGATAGTTGAGTGATTTCTATGCTCCCCTCCGACATGCTCTGACATCCTAGGACTCTGTGATTCTCCTAGACAGCAAGAAGACAGCAGGGCAGTGTCCAGAATGACAAAGATTGCTTTAGCGAAGACTGAAGGAAGGACAGAAAAAGAGGCTGGGTCCCCAGCTCCACTCTTAACCAAAAGCACCTCTCTCACCTTCCTCATTTTCAGAAAACAGCAGATCTCATTAAAAAGAATTAGAAGAAAAAAGAAAGAGAAAGGAAATAACCAAGTGATATACCACAAGGTTACTCTAGCTGAATCTTAGGAAAGCCTATCCTTGGACTTTTTTTTTAATGGCAGAAAAGGATTACAAGGCAAACACTGTTATCAAAGATCACTGGCATGGGCTAAGCACCCACACCGTTCCAGATAGCTTACTGAGTAGTGTAGCCAACCTACAGAAGATACAGTTCCTGCCCTCAAGGATAAACACCAAGAGGCCAGGTGAGCCATCTGCTGCCAACAATACCAAGGTGGAAAAATGAGATATGGGATTCATCCTGGATTGTTCTCATTCACCTCTCTCACCAGAAAGTCAAACAGGGACTATTACAAAATAGCTCTCTGCCTGGAAGGAGACTTCAATAACCTTAATAAACCAGCTTGCCAAACTATAAAGAATGCAATGTCCTTTTCCCTGAGTCCTACTTCAAGGCAATATCATGGCGTGGAGGCAACTGGGATCCTGGTAGCAGGAACAGCTGAGCCCTGACTCTGGAAGGCTTAGGGAGGCTACGAGAATGGTTGGGATGAAGGACACTGGTCCTTTGAAGGGTAAGTGAAAGGTGTTTTGTCATGAAGAATCATCTATTAAGGAAAGTATGGGGACAGGCTTGATCTGCCTTAGTAGAAATAATACTCATGGACCTTTTCATGATTCCTTCTCTCTCTTTGGATAAAATATCTATAGCTGGAGAGAATCTCCCCTCAGTCTGACACATAGTGGTGGAAGGCTTCAGAATCCTTTCAAGTATAATCCCAGAAGAGAACAAGAAAGAGATTTGGAGTCAGAGGATTTGGGTTTGAATGGGGGCCCTGTCATTTATTACTGTGTAATCTTGGGCAAGTGACTTAACTTCTCAGGACTTCAGTTTCCTTAGCTGTAAAATGAAGGGAATGGACCAGATGACCTCTAAGGTCACATTTAGCTCTAAATCTATGGTGTTATGATCTACACTGATATAGGCAGTAGCAGAAAATAACTGAGAATCAAGGAGTCCAGAGTTAGAAGTTGGGTCTAATTCTAGTTTCTTTCCACTGCATTAAATAAGATGAAATTTCAATAATCAATCAATGTGAAGTCTTCTACTTGAACTCAAAAAGTCAAACGGGATACACAACTGGACAAGAGCTTACATAAAGAAAATCTGAGGTACTGGTTGTAGGCTATAAGCTCAATATAATTCAACAAAAAGAGTAATGTGATCTCAGGCTGCATTAATAGAACAGCAGCATTTGGAATGACACATACAATATTATAAGCCATTTTGTTATCGTTGTTGTTGAATTGTTATAGTTGCGTCTGACTCCCTGTGACCCCATTTGGGGTTTTCTTGCCAGACATATTGGAGTGGTTTTGCCATTTCCTTCTCCAGTTCATTTTACAGATGAGGAAACTGAGGCAAACAGGGCTAGGTGACTTGCCCAGGGTCACACAACTAGTGAGCGTCTGAGGCCAGACTTGAACTCAGGTCTTCCTGACTACAGGTCTAGCACTCTATCCACTGCACCACCTAGCTGCCTGGGATTGTAGAACATAGTAGTTCTTAAACTTTTTGGTCCCAGGATCCTTTTACACTCTTAGAAATTATTAAGGACCCCTTTCCCAAAGAGTTTTTGTTTATGTGGATTATATTCATTGATATTTACCATATTAGAAAATGGTATTATTATTATGAAAATTATATTATTAAGAAAATATTATTATTATGAAAATAGTTTTGATCTTAGGGACTCCTGAAAGGTCTAAAAGGCTCTTGGGCACTGCCAATGGTCCCTGGACCAGACTTTAAGAACTGCTGTTATACAGTTCTTACTAGTATATATATATGTTTTAAGGGAACTCAAAACTAACCCACATGAGGATTAGTTAAGTCACAACTCACATTTGGATGGCACTATATTCAAATATCAGGAAGCTAGGTGGTAACCTAGTGGCCTCTGTTAATCCAATGGCCTAATGGATAAGGCATTAGTCTCCCGAACTAGGGATTGTGGGTTCATGTCCCATCTGGGTCACACCATCTCTATATCGGGCATCCAGGTGGCACAGTGGATAGAGTGCAGGGCTTGGAATCAGAAAAACTCATCTTCATGAGTTCAAATCTGGCCTCAGACACTCACTAGCTGTGTGACCATAAGCAAGTAGCTTAACCTGTTTGCCTCAATTTCCTCATCTGTAAAATGAGCTGGAGAAGGAAATGGCAAACTACTCCCATATCTTTGCCAAGAAAACCCAAGATGGGGTCATGAATAATTGGGGATGATTGAAAAATGACAACAACAACAACTCGCATATCCCACTATTTTAGTCCACTAGCACTGCACACCTTCACCTATGGTGCCTGACTATCTGTGTTATTCTTGTTCATGTTCTCCCCTGAGTCTGCCACAGGGAGTCCACTCAACATGCTAAGGGCCTTTTTCTCTTGACATTAGAAGGATACCACTGGAATACTCTGGTTGTATGCCTGTTAGTCCTAGCCACAGGAACAACCCATCTTTTTCATTTAGATGCTTTCCTGATGATGTCCTTTTCTCCAATTCTTCGAAGGTCCTCATTTGTCACATACTAGACACTGCTCCCATCCATCATGTACCTCTCATGCACTAGCTTTGGGTGGTTCACATAATTCCTTAGAGGTTTCCATGCTACGTGACTAACTGACATACAATACTTTAGTACTGGTGCTCAAAAGATAAGCCTTTGTTTCTAGGAGAAGTTTGGGGTCATTAAAGGAGCTTTTCAATTTCCTGAAGTCAATCCATCCAGCTCTCTTCCTCCTGTTCAAAGAGCGCTTTAAGGTTTACAATCACTTTACATACGGCACTATAGTGAGGCAAAGGATATAATTATTTAATAAATGAGGAAAGTGAGGGTCAGAGAGATGAAATTACTTTTCTAGAGTTACACAGGTAGCAAAGGTCAGGATCAGGGTTTGAACCTAGGTGTCCCAATTCAAAACTGAATACTCTAACACTACTATTTGAGCTTGGAGAAGAGATGATTTAAAGGGGACATTATAGTTGACTTCAAAATGGCAGACCTAAGACCAGCTTGATAAAAGAGACACCATCCCCAAAACTGTCCTGAGGTAGAGAAGCAGTGAATTCCTAGTCACTAGAAATCTTGTATTGCTTCAAGTAATGGAATGGACTACATCACCTGAGAGGTTCTTTTTTGGATTGACTGCATGATCCTTGGACCAGTGAGAATTCATTCCAGTTCTCACAGCCTCTGTTGCTTTCTCTCTATTCATGTGGGTACCTCCCAAGTTCAGGCCCTCATCTCTTGCCTAGACTGCTTTATTAACCTATGCTATGAACTCTGAGAGCAGATTGAAGCACACTTTTTTCATTTTCTTTATTTTTTTCTGCTTCCCCCAACATGGTTAATATGGAAATACGCTTTTGCACAACTTCACATATATAATGGGTACCATATCGCTTGCCTTCTCAATGGGTGGGGCAGAGGCTAGAGGGAGGGAGAGAATTTGGAACTCAAGAACTTCTTAAAATGAATGTTAAAACTAAATTAATTTTTTAAAAAGAGGAATATTTTGATAACTAAAAAAAATTAAAAAATAAAGTTGCCAATGCATTGTATGGTAACCTTGCATTGTAAGGCTGGGGAAATGGGGTTCAGTTCTTTCTGGGTGACGTAATTTACTTCAAGTCACATGGAAAGCATAGAGCTGGAACTAGAACCCAGGTCTCTCTTGATGCTAACTCCACTGCCTTTTCTACCACAAGAATAATAAAATTCTTTCATCATACTTTCAAGCAAAAAAACCCCCAAAACTCTAAAATTGCTCAGCGACCCACAAAGCACTGTCAGTCAAGCTGCATACTGCAAATAACATGACTTGGTTAGAAAAGTTCTATTAGTCTTTGAAGCTGGGCCACAAATACTCAAACGTGCATTTGGCAGACAGCTCACCTTCCATCAAAGAATTCTGTGTTCCTCAACAGACTTGTCCTCCCCACCTGGTTCAATAGTGACCAAATTCAAACCTAATGTAAGACCAACGGTTGACAGCAAACTACCCTCAGAACTGCCGGGGACTTTAGGCAGAGCACAGTGCATGGAAGGCTGACGAGACTGAGTCCCAGCTGTTGACTCAAAAAGTTACATGCAGTGCTAGGTAAAATTTACACTTGGATGAAAAAGTGTATTTATTGGCTGTCTGGCAAGATTGGGGTGCCAGCACCCAGAGGGAGGCTCATGAAAGATCACAAGAAAAGCTGAATTTATCCCACCTTTTAAAGGCTCCCAATGGAAAAGAAAGGACTCACCCAATCTACTACAAAATTACTTTTAAAAAGGGAATCTTAGGGGTTAACCTCTACAAGAAGCAGCAGCATGAACTCAGTTCTTGGATTGAAATTTCCCACCCACCTAACAGACCTTAGGGTCATTCAACGACTCACAGATATGGTACCATATACGACATTCATTCTGGCATCCAGTAAACCAGGCCAAAGGTTCAATTTAAGATCCACAAGGGCTATGTACTCATTTCAAAATGGAAAGGTTTGGAATTTCTAACAGAGCTAAAATTTTTGAAAGTTTTAAGTTTGTTTAATCATGGCCCCAATGACCTTTAGACTTGGGAAGATGATTTAAAGATTGTATATTTGAGTACTTCAAATGCGTGTCAACAGTAGAATAGGACATTATTGTTGGCAGCTTTCTTGGGTCTCATAGAACAGTATCTCCATCTGCCAGGAGGCTGAACCTCGAGGAAGGACCTAGGATTACATGCCTCCCTCACCACTGATACTATGCCTGGACTGGCTACTAAAAGGTTAGTTAACATAACTTCCACCCTTTTATATTCACCCTTGAACTTGTGACTGCCACTGTACAAAGCCCATTCTCAATCCTCAACTAAACATTTCCCCATGCTTATATGCTTCTCCTCTCTGTCTCTCTCTCTCCCTCTCGCCCATGCCCAGCCCCTCCTGACCTCCACATACACACTCAATTTTACACTCCGGCCCTGCTTGCTCCCCTTTCCTCTGTGCCCTCTGCAATGCTAGCTCCCTTAACTCCATTTCATCCTACACCTCCTTCTTTCGCACTCTGAGGTCTTCTGGCCCTCACTGAGACATAGCACTCTCCTGATAACGTTGATTCCTTTGCTACTCTTTCAAAACTGGCCACTCTTTCTTTCACGCCCTGACTCAATGTTCACAATAGGGGAGTTGGAATACTCTTTGCTCCCCATTGCCACTTCCAAAGCTTCCTTTGTCCACCTTCACTAAGTAATTTCTTCTCCTTTGAGATTCATGCTATCCCAAATTTATCAACCAATTCAGTTCCTGATGATTATTATTTATGGCCCTCCAAGACATTCTCCTTCCTCAATGAGATCAGCGCTCGGCTCTTCTCTCCATCTCCTGCTCTCATACCAGGGGGCTTCAACGTACATACTAAGACCTCTTCAAATACCCTAATGCGGCTGTTCATCTATGTCACATATCTCTCCGTGTGTACTGCCCAAGCCACTGTCCTGTGCCTTCTTTTTTGCTTCTATTTTGTCTCATCAGGT